GCCTCCTGAGTACCTGGGATTACAGGCACGCGCCACCATGCCCAGCTAATTTTTTGTATTTTTAGTGGAGACGGGGTTTCACCATGTTGACCAGGATGGTCTCGATCTCTTGACCTCGTGATCCACCCGCCTCGGCCTCCCAAAGTGCTGGGATTACAGGCGTGAGCCACCGCGCCCGGCCTCTCCTGGTCTTTTTAAAGCTGTCATCTTCTACTGCTCTGTTAGCAGGTCCTGCTTCCCCGAGACTGAGTGAAAAGGACACAAGCTCTCTGGCTTCTCACTTAGTATCTTCTTTCCTGTCTACCACCCCAAAAAAATTACATCAGCCCTTAATATTTTAAAACTTTCATTTCTAATCCCTATCAGCAAACAGATGAGATAACAAATACAACAGTTTTTGCAATTGACCAATTTCCTGAGATTTTTTTCTGAATTATCTCCTGAAACAAAAGAGAATACTCAATTGTGAACTCTACTTATCTTTGCTCTCATCCCACCCCCAAAAAAAGAACTTTGAGAGTGAAGCCACAACTTCACAGCCTGAGGACAGGAAAACCAGGGCGCCATGATTTCCACCAAAGGAGGCTCCGCAGGCACAGGGCATCACATAGCCACCCTGCCTCATCCTTCTCGTCTGTAAAATGGCCAGAATAAAAGTGTTTACTCATAGGAAAATCCTCATCTGAGGATTAAATGAGGTCATTTAGACCCTATCGTGGTATATGGCAAAAACTAAGTTCACGGTCAATAGTTATTTAATTAATTAGGTGATTTATTTTATGAAACAAACTTGATGACAAGGGAAGAGAACATAAAGGACAAAAATCCTTCAGGCGGTGGCAAGGGCTCAGTTAAAGTATAAGGAGTAATAATTTGGGGGATGTGCCAGTGAGTACCAGAAGGAAGCGAGAGAGAGAAGAGTCCAGAGATCTCGTCATTTCACTTCAGACAAAGGTGGTCAAACAGCAAAACTCAGCCTTCAGTTCTGCTTCCACATCCCAACCAAGGAGCTTCAGCCACAGGCATCTGGGCCTCTCCTCTCACTAGACAACAGGGCCAGTGCTGCTGCTGTCCTGACTGACTTCAGCTCCATTAATCCACCCCCTTGCCTTCCATTCTCCTTGGAGGCCGCGTGTGCTGAAGGCCTCTTGAACTCCTTTGCTATCCCAACCTGCAGTATCACCTGAGGTTGGAAATCCAGCATGTAGCAGAGGCTTTCTGTGGCAGGTCCTAGGTTGGTTGCCTGAGGACAGCACCGCCCTCCCCAACCCCTAGCTCTGAGATGCCCTGTGGGAAGTTCTCACCTGCCATGGTGGCTGTCCTACCAACAGCATCTCCCTTCAGGGTTCATCTTATTTTCTTCTGATGAGCAAGCAAAGGCAACCAGACTCTCCGTAGGTGTAAGCTGGCACGCACATTTGGCAGGGAGGGCGGATTTCTTGGGGACATTCTATTACTCACTCTCATGCCCAGCCCACCCTGTGCTGAGGCAGCAAAACCTTCTCCCCAACCAGGTACTGGGGATGTCCATTTTCCAGGCAGCTGGTGGTGAGCAGGGAGGTGAAAAGGGGAGTCTTTCAGAGAAGCAGGCTAGCAGGTGAGCCACCTGGAGACACTTAGGGGAGGTAGGTCTATTTTTCTCCACCCAACATCACTGAAGAACCCATTCCCACCCTAAATGGACTAAGAAAGCCATGGGGTGACATGCTGCTGCCAACTAGACTGGCATCTTGGACAAGCCCGAGAATGAAGCTCAGGGAACGAAGCAATGTGTTTTTAAGCAGGACTCTCAGCTCCTGCAGCCTAAGCCTACACTCTTGATCTCAATTTTGCTAGAGTTGTGACAACCATGAAATGCCCTCATGTGCAACTCACAAGTAGCCTATCAACTGCCCGTCAGCCTTGAAATAAAGATGAAGCTCCTTGTTATGAAGGTTATGGCTACTTTGGAAATACATTTTATAAGTAACCACAAATTTTTATGTCTGTATTTTGATTGTTTTCATACAACTATAACCCTCTTAGGGTAATTTTTACAAATCCCAGGGGTTCCTTCTGTGGTCATCTGTGCCTGGCCCATGTTGAACGCTGAGTATAGCTCAGCAGCTGTGTCCCCAGTGATTCAGGCTGCAGCCTTGTCTCCTTCCTCATGCATCAGGAGTGTGATACCTGGTCAGCTTATTCAGGAGCATAAATGTTGGCTGCAACTGTGAAGGTCACTGCTACAGAACCACACCATAGTTGTCGAGTGTTTGGCAGTTATCTTAATTACTTAGAGCATTTGTTAAAATTAGAGATGCGCGTCCTGTACTACTGAATTTGAATCTATGATGATGAGTAGTTTCAAGAGGTTCCCAGGGGTTTCTGATGCACGCAGAGTTTGACAGCTGCACTCTAGCACCTGGCTACTCACAATGTGGTCCGTGGACCAGTTGTCATCCATACCTACAAGCATGTTAGAAACGCACACTCTCTGGCCCCACCCCAGACCTCCTGAATCAGAATCTATATTTTAATAAGATCCCAGGCAATTCATTTGCATGTTGAAGTTTGAGAAGCACTGCCCTAGGACAAAGGCTATAACATCCTGGGAATCTGAGGTAAGTAAATAGAATTTCCTCCTCATTTTCAGGATGAATGACTGCTGCCTGTGTAGTGACTGCTTGCCCTGCCTGCTGGATGACAGAACCCAGGGACATGCAGGTGCAGCAGCTGGTCCATCAGAACCTTCTAAGAAACCTTCAAATTCTCCTGTCCTATCCACTCTTGCACCTTGCCCCTAATCGATGACATTAGAGCTCCAGAGATGGTAAAGGGGATACACCCAGGCAACGTGGCAGACTGAAGTCTATCCAAATCTCAGCTCTAGGGCAGCCATGAAAAAAATCACACTACCCTTCCAACGTTTAGTTTCTGTACATGTAGAGGACATCTGAAAGGTTTGCAAAGGTCATTCCAGCTCTTCATGTAACACATCCTTCCCGTCCATTTCACACATATGAAAAGTCACAGCTGGAAGGGACCTTCCATCACCTGATCCTAAATCCTTCCTTGCTGTCCCCAACTCATACATGGGGAACCTGGGCCAGCCAGACAGCCCATGAAAGGGCAGAGCCCTGACTAGAACCTAGAGCTTCCCAGGCCGAGTTCAGCATGCTTTGCACCATCTAGTACCTGGGACATCATTCTTGGGTTGGGTAGTCCAGGAAACATATTGTGAGACAGAATATGCAGGAAGTGTACTGGGGAGTGCTCTCAGAAATAACATCTTTAAGAGCGTAAGGGGAGTAAGATTGGGCAGAAGGAGAAGATGAATCCCACAGGAAGCCCAGGAGCTGGGATGTCCTACAAAGCTGTCCCTAATTAAGACAAAGGAACCGGGCCTTTGTATTCCACACCAACCAATCTGGGTAATTCTTAGAGAGGGACTCCGAAGGGAGCCAATGGCCATCAGTACTCCCAGCAGTCAGGGGACAAGTAGCTCGGTTCTGGGTGGGAAATCTGAGCAGCACACTGCAGCACCTGGGACAGCACACCCTTGGCACCACCAGCTCACTTACTTCATAGTGTAAGTGTGCCCTTTCTGGGAGCAACTTCACTGTTATTCTGGCTGCTCTCTTTGCCTGGGGAAATTCTCAGTGGGAGATTAGTGGGAAAAACCACATTACTGCTCTGGTCTTGAGGCTGCCACTGAATCTTATTCTGTCCCTCCTCTTCTATCCATTCCAGATTCCTCTAACCCTTGGTCCACGCCTCTGCTGGCCTCCATGCCTGTTGGAGTGGCTTGAGCCCTCATCACTGAGGACACTGAGCCCCTGGTCACCACACTCTTCTCTGGCTGTGGCGGCTGCACTTGTCCATTTACCTCAAATTGGGCAGGGGAGACACCCTAATGTATCCCCTGAATGCCAAAACAGATCATCTCCCACCCTCTTTAAATAACAGCAGCACTACTTCCTCCTGATATCAGGGCCAATGGCTCCTGCCAGTGTGGAGACTCCTTTCCCTGCCTGCTGATATCTTAGTACAAGGAGCTAGAAGAGACAGTTGGCAATGACAGCTTAAGTATAATGGGCCCTTATCATATACCTCGATGGATGCCTTCTCCCCCTAGGAACCAGCACCTCTAGACCCACAGAGTCTCCTGCTGTGGGGATGGAGAGCACAGGTTCCACTGTGAGTCACCAGGAGGGATGGTAGACAGGGCCACTCCCACGTTCACCCCTCAATTCCAGGATCCATGAATTCCACCCTTTGCAGCGCAGCCCCCTGCAGTGGTAGTTGATTTAGAGTATACCATATTGCCACCTGAATCCTTAATACCATGGCTGTTCTAATCTCATACCCATTGCTCAGACACTAGAATGACTGAAGACTGAGGCTGGCTGATGTCAATGGGCAGTCATTCTGTCCACGCGGCTGTCTGGTGCCTCTTCCAAGGTAGCTGCTATCAGGTAGCATTAACATCAATACATAGACTCCAGTGCTTTGTGCCCACTCCCATTGCCCATCCCCATGCCCCTCCCCAGCCCCTGACATTGGCCATTTGATCTTTTTCTTTCCAGGTCCCTGACCAACCAGTCAATCCATTCACTACTCCTCATGAGCCAAAATATATTTGTACTTTAATCCACTTCTCTTTCCACACAGAAGAATGACTAGCTCTACCTCCCAAAGCTCTGCCTATTGAGAGAATTTCCTCTCATCTCTCTCTTTCAGGGACACCCCCAAGTGGAACTTTAGTTCACAGCAGTCCATTTTCAAACTGGAGCCCACATACAAAGCCAACCCATCTGTGACCCCTCTTGACCTTTTTTCTCCTCTCTAAGCCGTTCTTCAGGGAGCCTCCACAGCAGCCATAGCCATGGGCACTTGCTGAGGGAGAGGAAACAATAGTGGTGATGTGGGAGTCAAAGCCACTTGCTCACGTAGCTCCTGGTGATCTCTGGCCCTGCTTGTACTTGATACTGAATGAACCACTTGCGTCTTAAGAGGCTCACCTGAAAGACCGCAGCTCATGATGGGTGGCTCTCTTCAGCCACAGGCAGTGTTTGAAGAGCGGCTCAGCTGAGTCCTCAGCAGCCAACACTGGCAGCTGGGGGAGTGAGTACCTCATCCTTGAAGGGGAAATTAAGCAAGTGCATTACAGAGCCCACATCAGCATCAAATCTCCAACACAAACCTGTGAAGAAGCGAGAGATGGCGTTAATACCTCCATCGTGCAGATAAAGAATCCAAAGTATCACAAGGTTGAACAACTTCTTCAGTTCATGGAACATCAATCCAGCCTCAGAACAAGTGTCTGAACCAGAACTCTCTGATAGGAATACAATGTGAGCCACATATACAATGCTAAATTTTCTAGTAACAATATTACGAATAATAAAAAGAAACAGGAGATATTCATTTCAATACTAAATCATATTTAACCCAATATATCCAAACGGTTATCAAATCAACATGTAATCAATATTTGTAAATTAATAAGACACTTTACATTGTTCTTGTCATACAAAGTCTTTGACATCTGGTGTTTCATGTTCACAGCGCATCCCAGTGTGAACTAATCACAACGCAAGTGTCAGTGGCCACAATGCAAGTGTCCAGTGGCCAGTGACAACTCTATTGGAACCCACAGCTCCAGACTGTCCAGTTGTTCTCTGTGCTATCCTCTCAAGGTGTTCCTCCCTCAGAAGGAGCCTAGACCTGGAGGGAGATGTTTGAGCAACAATCCTGCCTCGGGTGAAAATCTAAGTCCCTGCGGCTTACCAAGCTTCCAGAACACCCACTCCTTTAGCACAGCACAATCTGCTGCTGCCAATTAGCTTCACAGGTGTTTCGCCACTTGCCAGGAAGGTTCAATTTGAAAAGAAAAGAAAAAAGCAGTAGTAGACAAATGTTTGAGTCCATCTCTGTGAGTACCCTGTAATTTAATGCTAAATTCATCTCCATTTGGTTTCTGTGGCAACCCAAAGAACCAGCTCTCCATAGCTCATATCATGACTCCTTGTCAGGTTTCTAAATACAGGGTCCCTGGAAAACAGTCGATATCCCAAATGTCTGAGCTCTGATACTCTCAGAAGCCCCTGATTCTGAGCTTGACCCACAGGTACAAGGATGCAGTATGGGAAACGTCTTAATAAAGTCTTTGGCCAACACAGGAAATGCAGGAAAGACAGGATTCAGGAGCGTTCATTCCTAGAAATCGTTTGAAATGGGGCTGATCTGTCTATGGTCCAATAAGACTTAGGAAAACAACTTCATGGAGATGAAAAGAAGGCTTGGACCTGATGCAGACATTGCCAACCCATGGCAGATTAGGCAGTGAACATGTTCAGCACAGATGGGCCCGTGTGGCAGTCATGAGCCCTCAAAAGCAAGTTTGGGCCGAGCATGGTGGCTCACGTCTGTAATTCCAGCACTTTGGGAGGCCAAAGCAGGCAGATAGCTTGAAGCTAGGAGTTCAAGACTAGCCTGGCCAACATGGTGAAACCCCGTCTCTACTAAAAATACAAAAATTAGTCAGGTGTGGTGGTGCATGCCTGTAATCCCAACTACTTGGGAGACTGAGGCAGGAGAATTGCTTGAACCCGGGAGGCAGAGGCTGCAGTGAGCTGAGATCACACCACTACACTTCAGCCTGGGTGACAGAGCAAGACACTGTCTCCAAAAAAATAAAAAGCAAATTTGCCTACTTTTGTCTTCTTCCCTTTTTTGCAGGTAGCATGCATGGGATTTGGGAGATGTGGATTTAAAACCTGGCTCCAGCATTGACTTAGATGCTTGACGTGCTTACTTGTCTCTGAGCCCAGAAATGTGAAATCATCCTAGAAAACCTTCAGCCACCCATGGCCAAGGCCCCAGGACTGCAGCGAATGATTCAGTGATCACATGATAAATGTTAGTCCCTCCCCATTCAGTGCTGAGTTCCTTCCTGTTGGCTTAGAACCCCAGAACAGACCCATTTCCTTAGAAGTCTCTGGAGCAGTGACTTCCAGATTTCTTTTGACTGCAACCCATAGTACAAAATGCAAGTAACATCTTCACCAACACCTTGGTCTACCCACATTCGTGATGAGTTCGTCCAATCCATTCTGTACACTCACTCTATCCAGAGTGGTCTTTTCAAAACACACGTTTTCACCATGTAAACCTTCCTGGTGACCTCCCATTGATCTCAGAATAAAAGCAAAACCCCATTAGCTTGGCTCAAAAAGCCCAGACCACAGGCTCCATGTGCCTCTCCAGCCTCATCTGTGCTCAGCCCTTCCACTCTCCAGCCTCCCTCCCACCGCAGGTGTGCACAGGCTCCTCCCTGTGCCTGAAGTGCCCCTCCACCCACAGCCCCCAACCTGGTTAACTCCTACTTATCCTTCGGATCTCAGCTCAGCTATTCCTTCTTCCTGAATTTCCCCAGCCAGGTGAAATCTACTAGTTAAGAGCACTCTGTTTCCCCTTAACACATACTTGTCACTGTTGCAATTTTACATGTGTTGGTACATTTGAGCTCTCCCACTGAACTTGATGCTCTGAAGAGCAGGAATACTCTCTGATTTTACCCAGAATTTTATCACAGTGCCTACTGCAGTATTTGACATCAAGTAAAAGCTCAGTAAATATTTGTCACACGATTGAATGAATAAATAAATTTCAAGTGACAGCTCCTGACAAATGGTAATACTTTCAGAGAATTCTCTGTTGAAAAGACTTCTAATGCCAAGGAGACTGGGCTCAGATTCAGTGTCATAGCTCACTGGCAATGGCTCCACAGCTCATGGTTGAGAGCAGTGGCCCGAGTCCTGATTGTTCACCACCATATTCTGGAATCTGATTTTCGTGAATAGGCCCAGACCCTAAGCAGTTTTTTTAGGTTGGTTAAGTGCTAGAATAGAAACCCAAAACCCATCCAAATCCTTATGGAGTACCCTGGAACTCCTCTGACCCCATCAGATTTTATGTTCCAAAGCAGAAGTATCCTCAGATTTGAGGCCACCAATCCTCCCTCCCAAGGACATCGAGGCAAAAGGATCCAATCTTTATAAAATATGCCCCTGACAGCTGCAGAAAGGCTGAGGAGGCTGCAGTTCTCAGGACTAACCAAGGTGAGGCCAACCCAGACCCTAGATGGAAACACCACCCAGAGCAAAGGATAGGACCAACCCCATGGCCCATCCACGCCTCCCTCCCCACCCCCCAGGTACCCAGGGCTGAATTGGAGGTAACAGCCCCCATTTTCATATTGACAGACTGTCTATCTGCTGCAGCCACAGAATCGGACGCGTCCATTATTTTGCTTGGGATTGGCAAAAGGGGAACCGAGGGTTGGAGGGAAAAGTCCGCTATTTCATGGTAGGATAGCATTTAGCTGGAGGGGTTTCTTCTTTCTTTCTTTTTTTTTTTTCCTTTCTTTTCTCACTGCTCCTCTCTACCACCCCACTTGGCTCAGCCTTTGGGCTTCTGTGCAGCCCTGCCAATGCCAGGCAAGTGGACTGAGAAGATGCCCTGCTGGGAACGATGGTGGCGTAGCAGTCAAGTGCTGTGTGGCCCTCCCTGCCGCCCACACTGCTCTGAGTGGCTGGCGTCGACTGCAGACCTTCCTCTCTCTCCGCAGGGCCGGAGGAGGTCACTCTCTCGGTCACTGTCCTCAGCTGGGGCTATCCTTGTAGCCAGCAGCTTCCTGAGAACAGTTTTATGGCTTCGGCAGACAACTGTCAGGCCTTTCTTTCATCCTCTGCCAACAATGTAGTTTGGAGTCTATTTTCAGGGCGAATTTAGCAAATTACACTTCGGGGGAAAAAAAATCTACCCCTCACCCACAGCAGTGCTAGGTGTCAAATGTTACCTGGCATGGGTGCAGCACTTTACAGAGCTCTCTCACTGTAGGATTTTATCTTACTCCCTCAAAACCCTGGGAAGGCGATGGTAAAACTAACCCAGTTTTCAGGCTTGGATGGTTCAGTGACCAGCCGGGAAAGGGAAGAATTAGAACAAGGACCCAGGACTAAATTGCCCCCCGTTACCCTTCACCACCTGTCTCACCTGGCTGCAATGGTCCTTCCCTGAGGAAAGTATCTCATCCCAGGGAATGAGGAGAGGTCTCATTCCGAGCCAGGGAAGTGACCCAGTGCTGGCTGTGGTGGGGCAAAAGTGTTTGCACTCTGCACAGAGGAGCAGACTGGCAGGGGTGCTTTCAACTCAACCTTGGCCTCTCCCTCCCTCTACCTGTGATGCTGTAGTCAGCCACTTGCTATATTTCTACCAGGGTTGTGTGTCCTTACTCCAAAGTGATATCTGAAAGTTCTTAGGGGAAATGCTGCCTACTCAGCAGTTCTTAGGGGTGTGCTGCCTAATTCTGTAGGACACAGCACATCATTGTCAAAGGAACATCAAGTTTTAAGGCCAGGAAGACCTAGGTTTGAATCTTGGTCCTTCTCATGTCACCTTGGGTTGCCTTCCACAGCACACAGCCCTGCGACTACAAACTGTGGTTAATATTACTTGCCCTTATCAGGTTACAATAAAGATGAGTGAGGTACAGTGATTAGTACAAGGCCTGGCAAAAAACAAACAAACAAAAAAAAATCTTAAAGAAACACTAGCTCTTATTTGCTTTTATCAGTCCTTCTCAGTCTGTTTAATTCAGCATAAGATGCTTCGGCCCTAGAGGTGCTGCCATCTTTTGCTGCACTAAAAGAGGTATAGAATTTCTCTGCCAAGATGTCATAGTCCCTCATGGACTCTACAATATAGACCACATCTGGGGTTGTATATCTGTTTTGAGTTTCAGAGATTCTAATCTATAAAGTGTCAGAGTTGCTCTCTCATTCAGATTATAAAGTCTTCGGGGCAGGATTCTTCTTCTAAATAGCTATGTATACTTACTTCACTGTCCCTAGCACAGCGCAGGGCACAGGATGGGCATTTCATAAACAGCTGCTCAGGGATTCCTGTGAGGATGGCTCTGTCCCCTCTATGGTGAAGGCTATAAAGCATCCTCAGCTGGTCAGTTTTCACCTGGGTCCAGTGACATTAGGCATATTGCTGGTGCCATCTTAGGTGGGACAGCCATTAATTACAAAATTACACAAATTCTACAGGTGCCAGGTCTAAAGCATGGCCCCAGGGGAAGAGGACTAACATTTTCTGAGAATCTTCTATAGATCAAGAACACTAAAAGTATTGTTGTTTATTACTAGTTAGCCTTCGTAGCTATCTTAGGAGATATCCTGATGTTCCAGACAAGGAAATTTTGAGACCTACATGGGTTAAGTAGCTAGTCCAAAATCATACATCTAAGAGGCAGAGCTAGCATTCAAACTAAGTTGATCTCATTTAAAAAAAAAAAAAAATGTTCTTCTAACTTCATACTGCCTCCCATGGTTCAAAAAGGCATGAGGCTTCAACGCTACAAGAAAACACAGAGAGTTGAGTTTACGCTAGTGAACTGAGCCCCTGAGGAGTGCCCAGAGACCTCAGGGAGCAGATGGGTGGAAGTGCCTGTTCCCAGGGAAGGGGTCCTTTCGTTCTGCCTCCTGCCCTTTTCTCCCCTCTGCAAAGCCCCACTGTGCTCCAGGACACTTGGCTGCAGTTGCCCTCACTCTTCGCCTGCAGAGAAGCATTTGTCTCTGGCAGATCTTGGCTGTCCAGCTCCCCACACTGCAGGCTGAAATGATTCCTCAAGAAGGTGCCCAGCTTGTGCCTTGGGACCTGTCAGGATGAAGGATTCCAGTGGGGCTGCCTCTCGCCATTTGTACACTGACTTGGTTCCCTACAATTTATTTTTATGCTCATCACCTTTTCCATAGTGTCTCTCCCTCTCCACTTTTCATTTTTCTGACAGCAATGTATTTGGCCTCTCTTGCATTCCCAAAATAATTCTGGACTAGGGCTTTTTTCTTTGCAATTGCAGAG